GGATGGATGGGGATGGATGGAGATTGACCAGAATGGATGGGGATGGGTGGGGATGGATGGGGATGGACGGGGATGGATGRGGATGGACGGGGATGGATGGAGACGGATGAGGATGAATGAGAATGGATAGGTATAGATGGAGATGGACAGGGATGGACAATGGGCCAGGGCACAACCAGCACTCCCCAGCCTCACTTCTCCTGTTTGGACCACCCAGGTGGTGGCGTTTGTCCCTGCCCACCTTGACCCACCTCAATGGTCTCACCTGCTAGCTGAGTTTGTCTCACCTCCATGGTCTCATCTCTCACCTGAGGTTCACCTGTTGCTGAGCTCCTTGACCCACCCGGATGTTCTCACCTCCATGGTCTCACCTGGTAACTGAGCTCCCTAACCCAATCCCCTGGTCTCAACTCCATGGTCTCACCCCCACAGTCCCACCCTGGTGGTCTCACCCCCATAGTGTCACCTCCATGGTCTCACATGGTACTGAGCTCCTTGACCCATCCCCATAGTCTTAGCCCTATGGTCCCACCCAGGTGGTCTCACCTCCACAGTCTCACCCAGGTAGTCTCACCCCCATGGTCTCACCCAGGTAGTGTCATCCCCAGGATGTCACCTCCACGGTCTCACCTGGTTGTTGAGCTCCTTGACCAACCCAGGTGGTGTCACCTCCATGGTCTCACCCAGGTGGTCTCACCCAGGTAGTCTCACCTGTTAGCTGAGCTCCTTGACCCACCTCAATAGTCTCACCCAGGTGGTCTCACCTCCATGGTCTCACTTCCATGGTCCCACCTAGGTGGTCTTACCCAGGTGGTTTCACCCCCATGGTCTCACCCAGGTGGTCTCATCTCCATGGTCTCACCCAGGTGGTCTCACCTTCATGGTCTCACCTGGTAACTGAGCTCCTTGACCCACTCCGGTGGTCTCACCCCCATGGTCTCACCCAGGTGTTCTCACCTCCATGGTCTCACCTCCATGGTCTCACCCTGATGGCCTCACCTGGTAGCTGAGCTCCTTGATGCGCCGCTCAGACTTGCGCAGCCCCTTGACGCTGTCGGCGTTGCGCTTCTGCTCATTCTCCAGCTCGTTCTCCAGCTCGCGCACGCGCCCCTCCAGCTTCTGCAGCTGCTTCTTGCCACCCTTGAGCGCCAGCTGCTCCGCCTCGTCCAGCCGCAGCTGCAGGTCCTTGATGGTCTGCTCCATGTTCTTCTTCATCCTCTCCAGGTGCGCGCTCGTGTCCTGCTCCTTYTTCAGCTCCTCCGCCATCATGGCCGCCTGGCGAGACGAGCGGGGTGTCCATGGGGTGTCCACCGCGGTGGCCCCACCCCGGTGATGGCGCCCCCGGTGACACTCACGTCGGTGATGGCCTTCTTGGCCTTCTCCTCRGCGTTGCGGCACTCCTGGACGGCCTCCTCCACCTCGGTCTGCAGCTGGGAGATGTCCCCCTCCATCTTCTTCTTCTGGTTGATGAGGCTGGTGTTCTGGGGGACAGGGAGGGACCTCAGGAGGTGGCCCTGGGTGGGTGCAGCCCCTCTCCCCCCCCTCAGGGCCTTGGAGACCCTCCTGTGTTGCTGAAGGGTCAAGGATCTTCTGAGGATCTTGGTGATGCGATGTGGAGAGGAACGCAACCCTTCCATGGACCAACCTGACCTTTCCTGGACTTTCTATGGACCACCCAACCTCCTCCAGACCAACCTGACCTTCCATGGACCTTCCCTGGACCMACCCAACCTT